TTCCTAAAATGTCGAACTATTCCTGTAACTTATTGTAACTTCACTGCTAACCACCAACTTTTACACTAACATTTATTATCTATTGCACGTGAAACTCTTAGTTTGAAAGTTGTCTGCAGATCCTGCTCGTTGATGTGAACGTGTGTGTCTGCAGGTGGTTGAGGCCCTTCTTCCGGAAATCCCTCTGCCGGTGATTCAACCCAATTACAGACCTCTGCCCTCCATCAACGACGTCACGCCGCTCTCCCCTCAGAGACGGAAAGGTAAAGCCCTCGTCTTGTTTACGAAACGTCGGTTTCTTCTTCTGAACCACGATGACCCTCGAGAGGAGTTGCAGTGCGTTGCCTTTATCAGTCCTTCCAGAAAAATGCGGAGTTTTTTTTGCGATTGTTGCGGATAAAAATCCTTGATTATGCGGCACGTTTTCTTAAAAAATGTGATGGAGATATGCCAGGATATTTAATGCAGTTTTATGCGATGAAAAACTACGGTTTTTGATGAAAAAAGAGAAAAAAAAGTGATTCCCCCAACCACCCTGTTTCTCACGAGGCTACTACCTTATATGTAAAGAGTCCATTTCTTTATTATTCCTATGATAAACAAACAAACTAACATCACAGAAAGTGCTGGAATCATTTAAGTTCTCAAATCTTCTTTTAATTTCAGACCTTTAATAAACACATTAATAACTTAAAACTTACACAACACCGATGAGGTCAAGCAAGTTTGCAGCCTTTCAAAAGGAATCTGCTACAACTTCTGTAAAAAATGAATAAATAAAATATAAAAAGAGGCAGTTACAAACAGACATCCTTCTGTTAAAATAAGTGCTTCAATCTCTTACTGTAACGTAAATCTACATACTACTAATAAACTTACAACTGTCAGGTTTTCATCTCGGGGTTTGCAGCTTTTTCGATGTTCAACGTCACGTCAAGTAAAACGAAACATTTTTCAACTTTCTGCCTCAGATAATATGTGACTTTGTTGCAACGAAAATGCATCGATTATGGAAATCATGCAAGCCCCGCATATCATTGCGCGGAAATCGTCAATTTATGCGGCGAAAGTGCGGCGTATTTGAAAAAATGCGGCCCCCGCATAAATATGCGGACTTTGGCTGATTATGCGTTGAATTATGCGATCGCATAATCGCGTTTTTCTGGAGGGACTGACTTTATATACATTAAAGGTTATCATCAGGTCATGGTCGCCGTTCTCCAGAAACCTAAAGTCTTAAACTTCATGTAAAACATCTCTGTGGTTTAGTTTTCCTCCTCTGCTCCTGTTTGTGCGTCAGATATCCGCCGTATTGCAGCTGTGTTCAGTTACAGTTTTCTGCTTCACGTTTAATCCTTTCCACTGGCAAACCGACAAGATGCTTTTATCATCAAGACGTTATCGGAAATGCAAGTCAGCTATTCTTCAATAAAAAATAGTCGTAGTCAACCAGAAATGGACATATTCGGCACTATTCGGTCAACGAATCAGTTTTAAATTATTGTAGGGAGGAATAGTACAAACAGAGACTAGCCTCTATAAATACACTTGAAATAAACAAGCCATGCTTCCTAAATAAGGCCAGGTGTAAGGAGTGAAACCTGATTACTGACCTCTGTGTATATACAGATTAACTGACCAGGTTACTAAAGTGCATGTAAACACATTCTCCTTGTAACCTGGTTTTCCTGTAGTAGAGGCTTCTAGTTGGGTGTTAAATGCCAAATTGTAATCTAGTTCTTCTTGATCTTCTTGTCACATGCAGCCTAATATTGTATATAACATATTAGAATTAGTTTAAAAGCCCAAACTGAATAGAAATGCTCCGTATAAATGCTATTTGATAGAAGCAGAGAGCGTTAATGAACGTAAATATAAAAATATAAGATGTCTGTAGTCTGTGGACAGGTGACGATATACAGATACACATAAACAATACAACACAGAATACATTATGTCACGTTAAAAGTGATCACAGTTTAGTTTTGGCTGTGTTCTTTCTGCCCTCCGTCTTGAAGTAGAAATGTGAGGATGTCTTCTTCCCAGCTGAACTGGACCTCTGCGGAGAGTTTGCTCTTGATACAAGACGCCTGCACATAAGGAAAATAAGAAGTAACTGCATATTATTACACAACGATGAAAAATGAACAAAGCCGGGACAGACCAAAGTGTTAAAAAACGCTTGAAAACTTTAAAGTTCGCCTCTTAAATATCCAAAATCCCCCAAAACCACAAAAGTGCATCCAACAAACTCTCTGTTTTTTACGAGAAAACATCACAGAGGAATAAGAGAAAAGAAAAGTGTGTCAGCGTGTCTGTAACTGTCGATCCAGTAACACATCCTGTCCTGTGTCACGCTCACTGACCTTCACTCCCTGCTTCACTTTCAGTTCCTGTCAGCAACGACGAGGAGGATACCGGGTTCACGGGGAAGCGATTCAACTCTAAGATGGTGGTCTACTCAGGATCAAAGACCGCTTACTTGCCCAGGATGATGACTCTGTATGAGCAGTGCATCCGTGTGCTGCAGAACAACATCGACTGTGAGTGGAGCTGCTGGATACTCTTTCATGCTCTACGGCAGCTGTGTAGTCTCAAGCTTGTTCCCCTCCGTTTTTCTTAAAGGATCCCTTTTCTATCACTGAGTAAACTGACAACCCCCTACTAATAATTTCTATAGAATATAGATATTTTATATTATATAACAGTAACAATAGAAAACAACTGATAAAATGTGCAATGAACACAATAACTGAAGCAAGTTTGAGTAAAACGAGCAGATTATTTCCTGCGAATGTGAACTTTTTATACAATTCTCTGTCTGTATTAAGTATTTTCATATTTTTAACAATCTTACAGACTTATAGGCTTCTTTTTTTGGACAAATTAAGTGTTTTCTTCTCATTGTTCTATCAGCTCTTTGGTTGTTTTAACTTTTCTAACGCAGATGGAGGCTGTTTATCAGAGAGTGGAGGCTCTGAATATAGCTTCTGTTCAGGTCTTCAAAGTTTAGATCTTAAATAATAATCTAAACTTTAAAAATAACAATTTAGTAATTAATAATTTAGTTTTCTTCACAGATATGCACCACTTAAAATCACACCGACCCCCTGTGAATCTGTGGCGAGGTTGGGAACCACTGCAATAAAATAAGGCACTTATTAATAATGATGTTATTTTTTTAATATAAAATGCTTCTTCACGTCAACCGGCTCACCACAAAGGATGAAAGATAAACAGAAAGCAGTCGCGGCCTCCTGACTAATGCTCGAGAGTCAATATGTACTCCTCTGTGGTCGCTTCCCGCCCCACCCGCCTGTTAGCCCAAGGTGGTTAAAACAAATGAACGCTGCTGCACAGATGTGACTGTTCGGCGCCTCTGTGTTCTTTCAGCCATCGCCGAGGTGGGAGGAGTGCCGTTTGAGATCCTGGAGCCGGTGCTGGAGCGATGTACGCCAGAGCAGCTGTACCGCATCGAGCAGAGCAACCAGGTGACACAAACACACAGTTTCTTTCCCTCACACCACAACCCTAATCTTAACTGTCACGACTTAATACAAGACCCCGACTTTAAACTCTAAACTGAACTGAATTCTAACCTGAACCAGCAAACCAAAGTTAGTGAGGCAGAAATGTTCTCACGTGGTTTAAAACTGAAACTGGTAAAGAGTAAAGAGTCTCCAACAGTCCTTGAATGGAGAGAAACAGTTCAGGATATTATTATTATTTATATTATATATTATTATTAACGATTGACTTACTGAAAAATACTGGAAAAACTGGAAATCTTATATCTTGTTGGTCAACAAGTCAATAGTTTTTGTCAAAATTAGAAATACAAATAAAAATACAGAACTCCAGCAAACCATAAACGACTCAACACGTTATCACTGTTCTTGTTCAATAAAGAAACAGTCAAAAAAGCCTCCTTCCCAAAATGCTGGACAAAAAATACGAGAACAATGATACTTTTACAGACAGTTAAAATATATGAGGAACGGAGCCAAACGTACATACGATTTTAAGTACCCACAGTCGATTCACAGAACACATGTGTGATGCTGCTTTCTTCCTCCCACATCCTTGGCGTATTGTTTTGTCAGTCAATGCAGTAAGAGAGCTCCTTTCCTTTCGGCTGGTCTCCACGAGGAATCTGACGGCTGTGGAATGCTGTCACTAAGCGCGTCTCAGCTGACGGTCGCAACTTTAAGCGGGAGAGACCTCCTCAGGAGTACGAGTCGTGGAGGGAGATTACCCTGAGGCTCTGCCACACGAGCGCGATGGAGCGTCTGAGGCTTGGCTCACCCAAAAATTTCCTCCGCACACGCACCAACCAAAAGCCCAAAAGGCTCGGAGAAATAAAGTGTGGGATCTGAAATAGACTCATCTGCGTTAACCACTCCCCCTTTGTTATTTTTGGCCTGTCTTCCTATACTCCATACGGCCCAAAAAAAACAACTAAAAACTGACCGAAAGTGACATTTAACCTTCTAACAGAATGCTCAGCGATTTGGATGCTGAAAGGTTAATTAAGCTCATTAAGCGTTCTGGCTGAGTTGTGTCAGTGTGAGTGGGTTGTGCCTTGGGCTGCTCCGCAGGTCGCCAGGTTAGTAGATGGCGTTTGTTGAATTCTGTCGCCAAGCCGCCGCGTGACGTCCTGCCGGAGTCAGGAGAAGTTCGGTACCATTAAGTGTTCGTCTCAGCCTCCACCAGCGGCCGCAGCCTCCCATTCAAAGTGAGAGCCGCGCCGCGCGTCGCCTGATAACTTATCTCAACATTCACAGGTACAGCAGCCGAGACTCTCTTTGCACATACAGGACTGTCATCCAGCTCTGTCCCTTACCCCAGGCTTAACATTAGCAATGAGTTACAACTGTTGAGATAGATTTCAAGTCTACAAAGTTAACAATAAAAATTCAGGTTCCATACAGTCCTGGACAAACCTGGAAGTTTGGAGTCTAGTTTCCAGTCCTGGAAACACCAAAATAAATCGCCTGGACAACATAAGTCTAGATTGTCCCCGGAAAGTTAATTGTTTCTTCAGCCCGATCACTCTACGATTCAGATCAGCCCTTGTTGCGTAGGATAACATGCAACACAACTAAATTGGTAGATCACTAACCAACATAGATAAATAAAGACATTTCAAAGGTTTAATTGGAGACCTATGTATAATGAAGACACTAAACCTTGTCCTCCAAACCATCCAGTTACCACTCTGGCTGCTCCCGCTGAGTAACTACTCAGTGTCTAGTTAATTAACAATTTAATTTAATTAACGATTTAATATTTAAATCTGTGTTCTCTCTTTATGTCATTTTATCCTGCGCAGTGTTAATTGTTCTTACAAACAACCTATATTACTCACTTCTTCATGAATTAATATTGAAATATATAGCTTTAAAAACCTTTAAGGATATAATTCAAGCCATAATTTTAGTGCTTCGATAACCACTGCTCACGGTACTTTGCAAGATTTTTTAATCAACTTATTAAAATTTTATCATTTTTAATGTTATATTATGAAGCCAAAAATTCTGAACATTCACTGCTCCGAGCGTTTTCTGTTTTCTTTGGAGCTGTGTTTTTGTAAACTGATATAACTATTATACTGCTTTTGATCAACACCTCGAAGCAGATTTTTAACATAGACTTGTTTCATTAAAAGAGTTGCGATTGGCATTTTTCATTATTTTTGCTGGCACGTTTGTTGAGAAACGTAGTTGAATCGCAACATTATAGTTGAAAGTTACGCTAATTTCATTAGTGTATACCCTACGGCCCGGATTATATCCACATAAATGTGATAACGTTCTTCTCTGTAGTTCTCGAGCACGATTCCAAGTTGCAGTGTTGCGGAGTACCAGTCACGCTTATCAGTATTAATAAGTCTTTACCTATAAGAAGCAAGCACATTTTTTAGTTCACTGAATTATTAAAATTGATATTTTCTTTTATGTGGGAAAAACTGAAACGATTAGAAAACACTAAAATATTAAAATAAAAAATATAACATAATATGATAAACTTATTGTCCTTGTTTCGTTAATAAATGTTAAGACAAGGAAAAATAAACTAAGAACTGAGGAGTGTCGGAAACTAATAGTAACGATAAAATGCGAAACTATATAACTCCAACCTTTTGTCTCTTCCATGGTGTTCCTCTTCCCACCCAATAAGAACCAGCTGGCCACATGATTTACCTCTGGTTAGCTTCTGCTCTCTTCCTCCCAAACTTACCCTTCTCTCTGCCAAGTCGTCTCGCTTCTCAGCTGATGGGTGTGTGCACCAGAGAGGAAGGAGAAGAGAGAGGCAGAGAGCGAGGTGAGGCTAGGAGAGCTAGAGGACACGCTAGCCGGGACACCACAGGTTCAAACGCAAGTAATACGTGGTGTGTATGTTCCAGCGAGAAAAGAGTAAAGCTGAAATAAGCCCGTGTTGTTAGAGTTCTATTCTAATCTCACCAACCCGATTTGTTTTGTCGTACCTTCTTGCAGAACAGATGGGTTGCCCTCCGATGATGGCCAAAACTATCCGCATAAAGCTTTCAAGACAGAATTCACCTCCGCAGATCATGTTGGTTCTGAAAGAAGACTGATACTGATATTTTTGACCCAATTCCACGCTGTGTTTTTAATTTCAAGTTTCTTCCTTAGAAAAACTTCTGGAGACCCTTCTATCCCTGCATGAGCAACGACCCACACACACACACACAACAAGTCCCAAGCACACATGACTCTTTTATCCATTCATGAACCTTGTTCAGGCGTAAGCTGGTAAGGAAAATGGTTGATTATATTGTTTTCTTTTTTTATTTTCTATTTAATGTGGACCATCTGTTATTCTGCGGGGAGGGTGGAGAGGTAGCATTGAGTATTCTACTACATGACGGTCAGACTGATGTGTTGAGCAACCCTCTGTGTTAACAAAACCCTCCCCAGTCTGCAACACTTTTTCAAGCAAGAAAAGCAAAGGACACACAGCTCACACACAACACAACACACCACACACGTACAACACCCACACTCCTCGTCTCGGACAGCTTTTCTCGTCCTTCTGGCTAGAGCGCTCTTTAAAAAGGAATCAGCTCGGCTTTCTGAGAAAATCTGCTGCTTGTATGAATCTTTCACCGGAGACGTACTAGATCACTCATCAACCAATGATTGGTATAACCGCATCCTTGTATTCCTGGCCTAAATACGCTGCAAGCTGAAGGCGCAGCACCGGTTAGTTGTTAGCTCAGCATACAGACATGTAAGACGAGGGGGAAACAGCCTTGGCTCTCGCGTCCAAAGGTGAAAATCCCCCTCTCTGATCTTAAACGCCCACATTCTTGGTCGTGTGGTTTGGAGTCGGACAAGGAAACTATTGTAGCACCACACGGTACCAACACTCGGTGTTGTTTGAGCGGGCCCGGGTGTAGCGGGGACCGCGCCGAGTCCTTACCGGAAGTCTGCCGAGGGAGTCCAACAGCTTGACCTGACACCAGACATTCGACTAGGCCATAAAAACCAGACATGCCATGTTTCGTAAATTAAAAAACAACCAATGAACAGGAATGGATGAATGAGTGACCCTTGTACAGGTGCCAGGTTTGTTTCCACCTGTTTCAGTTTCGTGCTCAGCTGGCTGGTATTTAACATACAGACATGCTGAGTGTATCGATCTGAATCTGATCTCGATTGCTTTTCCTATAATATAAACTTTATCTAGGGATATGGGGACATAAAACTCCCTCCTCACCAGTTCCTTCTACATTTAACAGAACTGTTAACCTTTCATTGCGATACACCTAACATGAGAAACCTCTCACACACACACTTTGTTTTAATGGGCATGGCATTGTGCACGTCTCCAGCACGCAATCCAGCTGGCTGGATACAAGGCTTTTAAAACAACAAACAATGCCATATCTTAAACATGTTTTAAAGATATATTTGACTACACACACACACACACGACACAGCAGACGCATCTGTAGATTACTTTAACCTGCCTGTTGCGGCTTCAGATCATCCGTTCCTGCTGTTCGAATCGTGTGTGTCCCTTGTTTACGTATCTGCTTGCACTGTTGACAAACAGCTTGAGCGAGGGCTGAAAGAGACCCGCGGCAGGAACGAGAAGAGCAACCGGCGGAAATAACAAAAGGAAGAAGGTTGATAGGACGTCTGCCGCTTCATCTACTAACAATGATGAAAGCTGCTATTACTTTTCACATGGGACCCTGGCACCACACACATGGTCCCTGAAGGAAGTAATTTTAAACTCGTAATTTTATTAGATTTTAAATAAATGTTATATGAGTCATTTTTATTAAAATTGACTTTTGCCTTAAGGTTTTTTGTGTGTTGTTTATCAAAGCACACTGACATGCCTCGCTGAGCTTTCTATGAGCACGAGTGTCACATGAGATAAAGGAGGACAGTAACCATCTGTCCTCGAGGCCTCAATACAGTGTTTATTATCTAGCTATATCTTCTAGAATCGATAACTTAATAATCATACCGTAATGTGGCATTTATCCCCAAAATCTAGACTAATTTTGGTGTTTGCATCCCCTTTTAAAGTCGGATTTCTTAAGTAAATTTAATATCTGTATTTGTGATTTAAGCGGTGAAAGCACTTTTTGTGCTTTCTTAGTTGGAGTCTTAGAAGATTGTGCAGCTTTATAAACGTGGACAGTGATTCCCTGCGGGACAGGAA